CCTTTGCAACCAGGAAGAGAGCCCTCACCAGAACCAAACCATGCTAGTACCCTGATCTTGGACTTTCAGCCTCCAGAACTCTCAGAAAATAAATTTCTGTTATTAAACCACCCAGTACATGGTATTGTGTTACGGCTACCCAGTCAGAGAAAGACACCAAGGTTGATCAGGGATTTAATAACTTATACATCAAGAAGAAATTGTATTTACATAATTCTCTCTCACATACAAATGATGTCTGGATCCAAGTCAGTGAACGGGCAAAGTGAGGGCATGGAAACTGTGGACCACGGGAAGCTCTCCCTACCCAAGACATTCACATTTAAAAATAAATAAGTAAAAGACTGGTCTGGGCCAAGTAAAACGTGTCTGAAGATGAATTGCACAAGATACAAAAGTTTCATACCCTGGACTAGATCTAGACCATTTTCTATCTCAGTTGATTTGGCATCTTTGAATAAGTTGCTCATGAGCCTTAAATTATGGCCTCCAATGACCAAACAAAATTCTTCTTCGTTTTTTTTTTTTTTTTTTTCCAGACTGGTACTAATGCAATACTGCCTTACAGGCGTATGGGATTTTTATTTAAAATTTGCAACTGATAATTCATCCAATTTGTGTAGCTGGCAAAGCCAAACTATGTTACATACTATACAATACATTGTTATAATTTACAAGTAAAATGTGATTCTCCCACCCCTACCCCATTCCCATTAGCATTTCTCTTGCTCCCTTGTGAACCATTCTGGACTGCTTAGGTACTTGGCATGAAACATTTTGTGTTTACCCAGAAAATGAGAAATCAAAATTTCTCCATGAAAGGCAATCCAGTCATTCTGAAGGATATTTGGCTAACTATAGGTCTGACTAATATTAAATTAGGTGCATTTAAAATATATATATAGTTTCCCTCCACCTCACTCTCAAATCATCCAGAGATTTGCTTCTCAAATGTGATCCTGGACCAGCAACATCAGTAATTCTTGGGAGACTGATAAAAATGCAGAATTTCAGGCCCTGACCCAAACCTACCAAACCAAAATCTGTATTTTCACAAGATCCCTGGATTATCCGTGAGTACCTTCAATTTTGAGAAGCATTGCAGAGTACTCTTGACTGCCAACTGTACATGATGTTTCCGTTGTAAAACTGCATGAAATCTAAAGGGTTAAACTTTATGTCTTCCTATTTCAAAACTTATTGCTGTCTCAGAAGACAAGAAGGGAGGATCCCCAAACTCCAATGTCTGCATTGTAATATAATAGAAAAATTTCTGGGCATTGAACCAGAAATCCAGGGCTGGAGTCCCAGTCCTACTATTTACTTATTTAGCACAAATAAATTTGAAGTCTTCATTTGTTAGTTGTTAATAACAATGTGTACTTTACTAGGTTTTTGAATGTCCACTGTAAAATAGATATTGATGTAGCAAACATAATATTCTAAATAAACATGAGCTGAAGAGAGCATAGCCAAAGGCATGGCTTGGTCAGGATCTGGCTAGACAAGTACATAGAAGATGCTGGTGTAAGAACATAACTTTAGGAAAACTTCACCTGCTCAACTGCTCAGATCCTTCCCTGGCTATTGAAAGTGAAACATAAATGTATAGCCAAAAAAGATCGTTGGGATCTATTGTCGATTGGAAAAAGCATCACTCACCAGGCATTTGAATTTAATTTAAAAAGTGAAAATAAATAAGGGACTATTTGGAACAGGCAACCAAGTTCTGATGTTTAGTGTAAAACTATTGATGGGAGCTGTAAGATTTGTAACTCATAAACATAAACTAATGGTTCTCAAAATTCACTGTGTACAAGACTCAGCTGAGGAACTTGTAAAAATTGTAGATTATTCCTCTCTGAGTTGCAAGAGAATCTGATTCACTAGATCTAACATCTGGTAGGAATATGCATTTTTAACAGACTTTACAGATGATTTTGATGCTGCCAATCTACTAGCTATTTGTGAAAAGTTGTGCTAAGCTGAAAATATGTAGTCACAGGAGAATTTCTTAAGTTTGTTCTTATCAAGTAAAAAATCAGCAGTTATAGTTTTATTCTAACTTTATTTAGAACACCTCTCTGTCTTAGTAATAATGATATCAGTATTTTATAAATAAAGATCCTGAGCATTTAGGCATCATATTTAAGGTCATCCAAGTAGAAAATGACAGAAACAGAATGTAAACCCAGATCTGTGTAATTCTAGAGAAGAGGCTGCCAATCACTATACCATGTTCCAAGGCACGAAGTTCACACCATTTCTCTAAGTAACAAGAAATGGTCAATAGGACCTGGATCACCTTTGTAGGACGGGTTTGGAGGATACATGACATGAACTGAAATTCTCTGACATTTTCTTTTCAATATTGGGAGATTCAATTTTGGAATGGTGTTTAAGGGGGAGAAGATAGGTAAGCAACAGAGGAGAGAACAGGTTACATTAGCATATAATTCCAGCTAATAGCCATATAATATTTTCTTGAGTTGCATGTATGAATTTAGAATTCTACCTGGGTGTTCCATGGGAAACTGTCATGTGTGAGTCTGTACCTGTCACCTTCCTGTTCCTCCTCCCCAGGCCTGTTTTATTTCTATGGTTTCCCACCATATGGCACCACTTACGGCACCACTGTACACCTGGGTATCTAATCCAGCAAGCATGGAATCATTCTAATTCCTTGTTCTCCCACACACCTATATCCAATTAGATACTTAGTCCAGTTGATTCTCTGTTCAAATATCTCTCTGATTCATATGCTTTTCTCTATCCACTATACCACTGCTTAGTTCAGACCTTAAAACTTCGTTTGGACTATTTTTATCCCAAGTGCCTGCAACTAATCTCATACTAGCCACTAGGGTCTAGCCAGTAGCATGACACCATGTTATTTTTGTAAATAAGCACGTCTATTCCGTTCAATGGAAACTCACCATCTTGTATAGAAAAAAGAAATCTCTTAGCTTAGGAGGAAACATTAGAGCTTGTATATATACAACCAACTAACATTCATTGCCTGTAGGGAGGAGAACTGGGTGGTTTGGAGGATAGGGCCAGGAGGGACACTTTTTACCCTACATCATTTTTGAAACTTCTAAATTTTGAGTTGTGTGAATGTATCAAAAATTTTAAAGGAAAATAAAAATTGCTTGGCTGGGTGAAATAGCATGAAGTCATAGATTAACAAAATGAAAACACAACCAGAAATTTTAAAAAATTCAAAAAACAAGGAAAGAAGGAAGGAAAGGGCTAGATAAAGTATGAACAGAAAATGTCAATAAATGTATCTGCAGACTGTGTATATTAGGAATTTATTTTACTATCAGTGTTTTATAATAAGGCCTTAAAAATAAAAATAAGTTGCAAGCTTAGCTTACAAGGTATTTCATGACCTGCCCTCAAAATGCCTTTCTATCAGCTCTCCTAAGCCCTCTTCATTCCCCTCCTCCTCCTTTCCCTCCTTGCTGAACAACTTACACTTCTGTGGACCCAACTCCTTTCCTTCTTTTCTCTGTGCCTTCACATATGCCGACCCTTGTGTTTGTAATGCTCATACCTCCCTTGCCTGCTTGACGAACTCCTCCTATTCTCGGGACTTAAGCTGTACATTCACCTCTCCTGAGGGTCCTCCTCACCTCCTCCAAGCAGAACTAGGCCCTTGCTTCTTTAAGCTTTCACAGTACTTTGTTCTGACATGTTTTCGGTTCCTACCACATTGCAATCGTCAGCACATCTCTTAGAACCCAGCAATCAAGGCAATCCTGGAGGTCGTGTGCTTTTTAGGGTTCTGCTGGACTGCACCCTGTCCTGGGCCTAGGAGTCTGTAACACTGATAGGATATAGTCACTTTGAGTTTCTTCTCTTATACACTCCAGATCCCAGGACTCTCAGATATTTTTTCCAAACAGTCCTTACTCTGATGCTAGTAACTGCATGGGCCTGTTCCTGGATGAATCCTCATAAATGTGATCACTTCTAGTCTCAAGGGGTGGCCAAAGCCAGTACATGGCTGTTGAATAGAGTACACAGATCTTGAACAAGCTGGCTGGAGTGTCCACATATGCATTCAGAAGGTCCCTTCTAGTGTGAAATGGAGCTAGAGGCGGAAAGGGGGCTGTGATCTGGGGGAAATCTTCATGTGCACTCTTGTAAAAAATTAGAGGTACACTTGGCTTAAATTAAAACTTGCATGTTTGTATCTGTAAACTGAGTCTTGGCAGGTCAGAAACTTTTCCATTAATCTACGAATCTCCAGTACTTTGAACAATATCTGGCATGATCCCATGGTTAGGATTTAATAAATAACAATTAAATAAATTAATGCATGAATACTTAGAGCAGTGACTTTAAATTTCCAGCAGAATTGATTATGACACTTCCCTTTCCATATTTTAGGGATCTTGGAACATCAAATTTTAAAGAATCAATTGGTAGTAGTAGAATTAACTACTAATTGTATATAGCACTAGTTATGGAGTGTGTATGTGTGTATACAAATAATTTCACCCTGACAATAGCCCTAGGAGGTCAGTGTTATTCTTATCTCTAAGATAACAAAAGTCATCATCACAAAATTTAAGTAACTTCCTAAGTTTACAAAGCTAGTAAAAAATGGAGCTTAAATTCAAACCCAGAAATTCTGGCACCAGAATCTTCAGACACCAAATCGACCAAGTTGTGTTAAAACTGCAAGAATTGCAAAGCAGCTCTTATGCATTTGTCCCTAGTTTTTCTGGCTTAGCTTTCAGGGTACTAAGCTGGTCATCCTTCTGGAAGCTGAAGGTCACCAATACAGAATCTTAACGAGAAATTTTTGATTGTTTAAAAAGGATCAAATTGTAATTTCAGAAAAAGTAAATTATAGTTTATACATACTAAAACCATGTAGTAAAATATTCTATTTTGATGTTGCTTTGTTACTGTTTTGTTTCATTCTTCTTCTTTCTATTTTAACTGCAATAAAAATTTTTATTAAAAAATAAAAATAAAGTACTTGCCTTCAATAGTAGAAGATGCTGGAGTGGGCCTGGGAGCCTGTTCTGTTGGTAACGGAGGAGGTATGGCTGGGCTTTGTCCTGTGCATACAATGCAGAGGCAGGTATTGAAAAAGAGTATTAACAAATTTAATATCCACAACTAAAATAGCTAGATCTGTCCCCTACATACATAATTCATAATACTGAATATAAATTCATATTATTATGCAATAAGAAAACGGTTATTAAGTGATATCTTTAAGAGGATACTTTCACAGCTTCATTTATCTTCAGAGCTATTGCTGAATATATTATTTTTCATAGATGTACATACAATGTTAAATATATCCACTGGACTTCATTAATGGAAAATTACATGCGATCAAATAAAGCAATTTATTTTCAATATGCACTTTAAATTATGGAACTAAAAATCATAGAAACCAAGAAAAATCCTAATATAGAGAAAAAATACCATTTTTTTTCATTTAACTAAAAAGTCTCAAATGATATAATAGGGCCATAAAAGAAGGTTGAAATTCATAGGCCTTTTGATATTGAATAGGTACATTTTCTCCTGCCAAAATAAATGATCTGTCGTTAAGTAAATAATGAGCCAAAGGGAAAATATATTCAGTTTTATAGAACCTTGAAAGGTTCTCTTAAGTCTCTGGGCTTATTTTGAACTGTAAAAAAACCCACAATCATTTCTGAGTGCTTCTTTATTCCAAGTGATTCCTTTAATTAACCAATACCATCCAGGCCATGAACTGTAAACATTAACTATCATATATAATCCCATGTGAAATGCTTGAAAAGTGTTTTATCATTAATTTTTATTCTACAAAATCCTGACGTGTGTTTTTTATCCAGGGATTGATGTGGGTCTGTGTACATTTAAAAATCTCCCTGACAACTAGATATTATCAAATGTCAGTAGATCTGCCTTCTTACTAGAAGTATTCCTTTTTTAGAAATCTTCAGAATTAGTTCTCTGCAGCAAATTATAGTTTAGCAAGCCGTGCAATCGGAGTTGCACACATACCACGTTCCAGGCCTAGGCCTTCATGCCGAGTACAACTTAGTATCCACTCATTACAGAATATTCTGCCAGTTGTTAAACTCAAACAGTTAATGCTTGAGCATGTTCAAGTATGCATAAAAGCAAAGCATATTGTTTTATAACATACAGGCTATATACACAGAAAAATATCAGTCCATATTATTGTTAATATTTTTTCCTCATGGAAGCAAAGATTTTACAGAAACATGATAAAACATGGAAGTTTTTTTAGTGAGCAAAGAAAAAGTAAGGCTGGGAACACTAAAAAGAAACTTGATCTACATTATTTTTCCTTAGCTAACATTAATATGGTGCTTACTATGTGCCAACAATGATCCCAACAGTTTTCATGTATTATGTCATTTAATCTTCACAAGATCTTTAGGATGTAGGTTTCATCCTCATTTTATAGTTTTGAAAATTGAGGGGAACAGGGGATCAGGCTGCTCAGCTCCTAGCAGTGGAGCTGGATTTCGATGCAGGCTACAGAGGGGCAGGGCTCAAGCTCCTCTCTGGCTGCCTCAGGCTGGCATAAGGATTATCTTCTCTAAGGACTTCATGACTGCAACTGAACAGTGACAGAGTGAAGCTGCCACCTTAAGTTTCCACCTTCTTTGAGGTCAAAGGGATACATACTTGGAAAGATGTATTCCTAAGTCTTGCTTGAGAACTCTTCTTAAAAAAATATTTGTAAGTTCAAATGCTATTTTGCAGCTTTGAAAAACCTATCAAGAGTCTAGATTTAAGAAGGAGTCAATTAAATGATGAGAGCCATGAATATAAACCAATTGTTGCTAAATGTTAAGCGTTTCAAAAATATCTTCTGAGATTGTTGCCTGTTGAATCTAAGCTGCTTTCTAACCCATCATATACTTCTGTAAACAGTAGTGAATGTGTAATCATAGTTTCTCACAGTCCTGATGAGCTCTTCAGAAATTTATTATAAAACATATGAAATTCTTTCCTCAGAGAATTACACATAATTTACACTATGAAATATTCTTAGATTTACCTGGAGGGACTATAAAGTAATTATTTCTTTAAAGTAAAACCTTACTGAGCACTTACTATATACCAACACCGAAAGATCATGTAACCCCAAACTTGCCTTCAAGAAGTTTCCAATATACTGGCTAAAACAGGCAGATAGACAGAATGTAGACAGATCATGATATTATGGTGTGATGATGATAAATAATATATAAAGGGATGATGTTGTAGAAAGATTGCTGGAGGAGATTGAAGTAATGGAGGAAAGGGAATTTGCTAGGTAAAGAAGGGGGCGGGGGAAGGGAGGGATTCCAGGTAGAGTATGCGGTAAAAAAAAAAAAAAAAAAAAAAAAAAAAAATATGAA